TCTGATCATTTTTAATGGTACAGGGTTCATACAAAAATTACAACCATTTCTAAAGGACTTTTGAAGGACATTTCAAGGACCACATTCGATTTTCAAGGACTTTTCAAAACTGTGAAACCCTGGTGGTCTCTTCTTCATGAAGCACAAGCTAATCTCCCAAGAAATTAATGAAAATATTACTTAAAATCTCCTATCATACACATAATTATTAAATATTGCTATATATACTTAAACAATCTATAATAATGGTTGGAGAATTGAGACGTTAGATTAGTTAGGTAAGGATATAAAAGTTAATATCATTTCCATAAAAGTATTTCTATCAAAGGTACATGAATCAACAACCTTTGTGAAAAGATAGTTGAAGGTTAAATCTACCACTTGCATGACAAAAAGTATCATTCTCAATTTTATCAGACAGAAATTTAATTGTTATCATTTTATCTTATTGAGTAGATAAGCTTACTAAAAGGCATATGTAAATGGAAATTAGAAAACATTTTTGTGGACCAGTTATTTACAAAATCCACTCGGTGATCCAGAGCACTGACTAATCTCTTATTGAGATAACCATCCCAAGAAAGGCACATTACACCAGCAATTATTTACTACCAGTAATCAATCTTCAGGATAGACTGTTGTCATTATCAGGTGAAGCTTATGTTGCTAGTTTTCCTTGTTTGAGCTTCCAAGCATCTTAAACTACAGTGAGAGAGCAATATTAGAATATTGGCTGTTAGATGATGAGTAAGGTTTTAATGGCAGTTTAAACTTAGGAACTAATGAATTTTCTCTTGCCTCTTAATACTATCTTAACATGAGGTTTTAAAAGAATATAAATTTTATACTGAGTTGTATTATGCATATCGCGTTTAAAAGAGAATGAAATGAACCTTTTGCTGAAGCAGTTTTGAAGTTCTGTGATAAGTACGGATTTTATAGAGTCTTTTAAAGTTGAATTAGTAAGGACCACACTAACGGCTATGTGAATTAGGGCCCTCATGCCATTAACTCTTGATTAAATGTTAAATTCTCTCTTTGTTTCACAAGTAAATGTAAAGCAGTTTGGAAGGAGAAACATGCCGTTTATCAGAAGTATTTTGACGTTCTTCCTAGCCACTCCTTTTAAAAGATATGCAGAACTTTGACAACCTCACTAAAAAAAAATTGGTCACTTAACGGAAAATAGTAATCAAGGCAATGGCAACATATTAAGAGTTTGCAACATCATAAATCTTATATTCAATTGTTAAAACCATATACAAATCAACATTCAGTTGTGAAAAGGCTGTTTCATAGGCTAAGCTGCTTAGGCACCTTTTTTTACATTTTTACTACACTGCATTATAGCACGTTAACCAGAAATGGCTCAAGCTTAGAAAGGTGACTAAATCATTTGTATTATTAATTTCCTCTTTATGCAGCAAAGTTGACAGTCTCCACCTGACAATGACACATCTTACAGGTAACCCTTTAAGCCCCAGTATCCACATACAAATTCTCCGCACCAATTTCCATACATTTCCTTAAAGAACTAGTTGAGAGAATTTGTTTAAAGACCAAAGCATTTTCACTCAGGTCATCACTTGATTAGTTCTCATAACCTTTTCTGTTCACTATGTGTTAACATTGCAGTGTTCTCCCCAAATTTTAGTTCAGCAGTCAATTCATAGCTGCTAGGGCAAAAAAATACGCACCAGAGGTACACTTTCCTGGGGGCAGGGGGTAGTGGAGTGTGGGACATGGCCCTACCCTTGTTGGAAATTTAAGAGCCAAGTTCTCTGAAACGTCATTCCCTCATTTTGAGACCTATTTTATGCAAATCGGTTGTTGTACCCTTTACAAAGCAATTTAATGATTGATACCAATAATTTTACTCTGTCTTCAATGTTCTCTTTCCAAAATGCATGGGCCATAAAAAGAAAAGCTGTGTATACTTTAGTACTTTTCCATATATCCATTCATTTCCTTGTGGAATGCGAGTATCAGATCGGATCACAACTTGTGTATTTCTTAAAGTAGTTCTTTAATTTTGGTAAACCTTTAGGCTGTTGCAGGCGGTAAGAAGTGTTGCTTCAGGCAGTAAATTTTACCAGTTACTGCCTGATAAGAAGAACAATGACAATGCTAGATGTTGGCCACACTAGGGACTTAAGCGGGTTAAAATAATAACAATCCTCTTCTGCTTGTGCCTTTTCTCTGTCTGGTTGCAATGGAAAAAGCTGTCTTCTGTCACAGAATATTATAATCCTTATATACAGCCACACCCTGCTAAGATGGTCACTTACTTTTACCCGCTACTTCTACAACCTTTATAATACAGCCATCCTCTTTTAACCAGTGACTTAGTAACATTTGAAGACTGTCCCCAGTTATCTTTTTTGCAATTTAACCTCGTTAGTATGACAAGTAAAATACTTGATGGGGGCAGTACCACTCAAGACACCACAGATGGAACTAAACTTCTGGCTAAGTCTGTCTGTGAAACAGCGCCAAAATTCCTTTTCTGGGCCCTCAACTGTGTACCAGGAATTGAGTATGCACCATAATTGGCCTGTTAATAAAGCCATTGTCAATTTGCCGATTAGGTTGAGGGGAAATTCAAAACGCATTCCTGGCAATTCAATGAGTCAGTTGAGGGCCCAGGGCTGGTATCTTGGCAATGAATTGCAGACGTTACTAACTGAGGTTAGACTATATTGATGCAGGCTACATTCAAGCTGACAAACAGTAATGCTGAACTATACAAAGTCATTAAAGTGCTTTATGTGATTTCCAGCATACTGATAGATCACACAAGATTCAATTTTACCTGTCATTAGAAATACAATGTAACACCACCTTGTTTAGTAATTTGACCACCAAGTTAACACAATGAAATTTCCTTGCCCTAACTAATGGTGTTTACTGACAGCGCCTCTGTAACCTGCAAATTCAGGCACCTCTCCTTGCTCCTCACCGCTAGGGAAGTTTCATTTTTCCTGCGAAACATTCCAAGCAGCAAGGAGTGAGGAGAGACAGCTATCCACAAAGAAATGTGAAGCAGAGTAACCGGTCGATACTAACCAAGTAGGTGGCAATTTTCGCCGGCAGCCGGCTACTTTTGACAACCCTGATGTACAAGAACTTGCATAGCAATTTATGTTATTTTCACCTGCAAAAGAAACTACTTCTCACCTTTATACTTGAAGAAGCTGAAACCACCCTAGTCTCCAAAGATTGAAACATTGATGAACCCCTTCATGGAACAAACCAGAAAAAAAAAACACAGAAATAAAGACCAGAACCTTCTCACTGCACAACACAAACAGCAGACGATTCAGCAGTTTTCATACCTGATTTCTCCAAGTTTCTTGGCTGTAGCTGATCCAACATTTTTTGCAGCAGTTGCTGTCCTTGATCCTGCATCACTTAACATTGTCTTTGTTGCAGAAGCTCCAGTGCTGAGTTTGTTGTACCTGAAAATGCAAATGGACCAAAATCACTAAGGATTAGACACACCAAACTTATACATGGGTAGTTGACAAATATTCACCTATTACAATTACTGGTATTAATACTGATTAGCCTGTGAATGCAGCCATCTTAAAAAACAAAACAAAAAAACCCCTGCATGTAGGAACCCCTACATGTAACACCTCCTGGCTGTAAGACCCCTGGCTGTAAGACCCCTGGATGTAAGACCTCCTGGCTGTAAGACCCCTGGCTGTAAGACCTCCTGGCTGTAAGACCCCTGGATGTAAGACCTCCTGGCTGTAAGACCCCTGGATGTAAGACCTCCTGGCTGTAAGACCCCTGAATATAAGAACCCCTAGAGGTAAGACCCCAGGGCCCAGTTGTTCAAAGGCCAATTAATGCCAACCCAGCGATAAATTTTAACCTGGGTTCTTTTCTTTTGTTCAAAAGCATTTTCCTGGATAACTTTCTCTCTTCTTTTTAGAGCATCTAATCATAAAATTGTAGGGAAAAGGTATAAAACTGAATTTGCTTTTTAAGCTTTCCTATCTGAAATCAAATTTTGCACTAACCCTGGGTTAACTTAACCCTGTTTTGAACAACCCGGCCCAGGAGATAAGAACCCATGGCTGTAAGAACACTGGATGTAAGAGCCCCTTGCAAGAACTCCTGAACATAAGAATCTCTGAAAGTAAGATAGCCCTGATAGATGCCCTGATAGGGTGCTTACCATTTGACAGAAAAAACCGGTTGGGGTGTCGAAAGCATAATGGTAAGCGATTTGCCAGTTTACCGTAGAAATGCCACATCTGTTACGGTTTGAGTAAAAAAAGGCGAATTTGTGTAGCATGAGTCTGGAACCGGGAAGGAACCAAGAAATTGGTTAATGGTAAAAAACATTCCATTTGGTTTGTACCAACCGGAATGAAAGGACTACCTCAAAATGTACTCCTCAATTTTCGGTTGGAATTTCCAAAAAGTGACCTTACCATTTACCTTCCATCCGGAATTTCTGAAATTTTCTGTCAAAGAGTAAGCACCCCTTATTTATGCTCAAACTATACACCTATTTTACTGGTATAACATTTACACCTACACCAGAGCTTGAACTTGAAACTAGAACTACCAGGACCTGAACAATCGATGAAATCGATAATCGATAGCAATTGATGACAATCGATATCAATTAATTGATTGAATATTGATAATTAATCGATTAATATTGATAATTGATGGACAATTGATCCAGGGTTCTCAATAGATTTTTAAGTAGGAGGTGATCACTGATAAAGTAGGAGGCTCTTCAGCAAAGCCAGAGGTGTCAAAACAAAGCAAAGAAAAGCGACTTAAACACAAAGTAAGCGGCTATAAATCCCAAAGTAAGCGGCGATCAATCGCCAGGTGCCGCCTTCTATTGAGAACCCTGTGATCACGAAAATTTTTGTGATTATTGATTATCATCGATTATCAATATCAATCAATAATTGATGGGAATCGATCAATTAACATAATAGATTGTTATCAATATGGAATATCAATCGATTACCTATTCAGTCAAACATTCAAATGCCATTTTCATCGAGTACTAATAAAGTTACACATTCTGATATCATTGCTTTTTATTTGAGTAAAAACTAGCGAGTAGCAATGCGTAAACTTGTTTATTCACCCACACGTTTCACGCGAGTTTAAAATTTATAGAAACGTACTACGGATTTGTGTGTAAGAAAAACAAACGCCACAGTTATGCTTCAATGTAACAGCGTGATGTAACGTTTGGAGCCAACAGTTTAGCTAAGTTTTAATAAAATATGTTCAATTTAAAGCACACATTTTCTGTTATACATGACATTTCTGCGTCCCAGGTCAGTTGAATCTGAATACGGAGACATGAATTTAGTGCCAATCAATGGCAATCGATGAAGTTCGCGACCACCTAAGTGTGATTATCGATTGATCATCGATTGGCCAATGCCAATCGATGCTAATCAACAGTAATTAATTGATTGTCATTGATTGATCGATTGATTTTCCGATCATCGATTTTCATCGATTGTTCAGGTCCTGAACTACAGAACTTACGCTTGTGAGTGGACAATTTTGTCATTCAAATCTTTAAATGTGTCAGAAGTTTTTTGATACCTGTGAAGTAACAAGAAAGAGAAAAAAGCTCTTAACTTGGTAAGCACAACATTGAATTAGATTGCTGTATACCATAAGGGCTTTCGCTTTCTAGTAACCCTTTACCATTGTAAGGATCAGAGTTTAAAGTTAAAAAAATGCGAAAAAATAATACAAATTCTATTTTTTCAAAATGACTAAAAGAAAAGGACTGTAGATGAGAGCACAAGGAATCTCGCGACCTGTAGTGTTTGTATGTTTGCCACGTTTTTAGTTCTTTTCCTGTTCCCACCTTTGGTGCAGTTTTTTGGTTCATTTGTCGTTTATTGTTTGCGCATCAGTCTTTGTTCTTCGTGTCAAGCATTTCTTGCACATAGTATAATTATTTAGCTTTGATTGTTATTTTCGAGTAAATTCTTGGTTGTACTTCACTGGTCCAGTTTAAGTCGTTTCACTTATGGTCTTTGCTCATCCTAGTGTGTCTTATTTACCCATCACCTTACAAGTATCTCGTTTGTTTCAATCACTTTTCCAGTTTGCTCTATTGCTTTTCATTTAGTTTTGTGAGTTATTTTATCTTGACCTTGTCAGGCACGGATCTAGGATAAATACTGACCGATTTCCCAAACGAGTGCAAAGGCGCAAGCTTCTAGGGGGGTCCGCGGCATGCTCCCCCTTTGGAAATTTTTTGGATTTTAACTCCCTAAAGTCCTGGGTTTCTGAGTCATTCAGAAAGGATATTGGCACGATTTCACCTTGGAAAGTTTTATTCTTAGTAAAACATATTATTTCATTTTTTAAAAATCTGACTGACTTCGGTGGAAACTTGTGTGGATCCAAGCCTGCTTGTATTTGTTTAATTGTTGTTTTTCAGTACCACTTCACTTTGTTTTGCATAGATTTGCATTCTCTTGCTTCTGTTCACTTGTTTCCTTTCACCAATTGTGGAAGTCTTGAAATAAAGTTTTGTTTGTTGGATGACTACAGCGCGCAAAGGCTGCGACTACAGTACAGAAGTACTGTGCTGTCAAAGACGTTAAATATAACGCCAATGATTACACCATAAGGTTTCATGTACAGCTACAAAAATGAGAAAACATACATCTGAGTTCCTTGTAGATTTTGATACTGCTGGTGAAATCCATCCTTTAGCTGTGACCATGCTGTTATACCCAACAGCCGTTTGATTTCTGCTAACTGTTTCTCCTTTCGCTCGAGAGCTTGTTTCAATGTAACAATTTCTTCCTCAATCTGAAGAACAAAAATAGCAGGAAAAACTCTGATGCTCTTGCATGATAATTATCACAACAAAAAGTATGGAAAAGAGTGTGTGTACTGCGATTAAAAATGTCACGAAAAATAGAAATGTTACTGACAGTAAAAAACCTCCTTAATACATTTACCAAAGCTGAGTACATTGGCACCATAGAAGGGTAAAAATAGTATTACAGGAGAGGTGTTGGTATAAAGGCATTGCAGAGGTATATAGGTAATGAGTTTTGCTTCTTTGAGTCCAGGAGAACTGCTTATTATCTTCTATAGTTTGAGAGATATTGGTAACATTCCATGCATACTTTAAAAAAATAGTTTGCACAAATTTGTAGCCTGTAAATGGCAGATGTTTCTCCTTGCTCATCGTCACTGAAGTAGGTTTCGAGAGGAGGAACGTCTGCGACTCAGCGACAGAAATTCCATACTGATGACGTAAAATCTGTCCAGAATAGCGTCAGAAGCGCTAATTGGTTGAAGGAGTAGTTTCATTGTTTTAGCTATTGTTTACGAATGATAAACAAAAGACAAAAGGTCACAAAGGTCAAACGTAAACACGATGAATCTCTAACAAAATAGTCAACATTTGTGGAATATAGTCTTCTCTAGAAGAAACATTTGAGCTTATTCACAGATGAATTCAACACTTTACCAAAATTGACCAGGAGAAATGTAAAATTGAACAAATTTGCATTTGGAACCCCATGACTACCGGATTTATTATGTATACATTTACTTATGTCATCAGTATGGAATTTCCGCCGCTGAGTCGCAGACGTTCCTAATCACGAAATGTCCCTCAGCGGTGATCAGCGAGAAGAAACGTCTGCTGTTCCCAGGCTAACAAATTTGTGGCCAATTTTTAGCAATTTTTCCCACCGTGCTTAGTTTGGCTTTATTTCAATAATATGATGAAGGAAATACAGTCCGAGATAGAAGGTGAGGACCAGTTTTGGTCCAGTAATGCTGCTCCCATCATGTGTTTGTTTCAAAATAAAGTGATGTTTCTGCTAAAAATTAGGGAGGCCGCTAATGGAGGTTCAGCTGTATGTATTGTTATTCTTTGCAAAAATGATGTGCTCCAGTCCTAATTCCTTAGTTTTTCTCTTCCTTTTAGAAATCATCAAAAATGTCTTTTGGGCCTCAGGGAAGGAAAAACTTACATTTCTACCACATGACTTTGAACCAGTGAGATGAAATGTAACCTTTGGCATCTACCAGACCAATGGAGAGCTAGTGCCAAAAGGTTTAAGAAAGCCAAAGTCCACAGAACATGAAAAGGAATGTTATCAAAAAAATACTTCAACAATATCATGGATATGATGTCGTGATGGAGGTGTTTGAAATTTTCAGCTGATAACACTGATATAATAACCGCACAAATGAGTAGGGAAATAATTTTTTTTTACTATTCCGATTAATTGACCTAAAAAGATAAAAACGTCACGGAATTCTGATTCAATGAGCATAATAAGCTCAAAAGTACAAAGTTTTATTTCGATTGTCCGATCGTTAAGAACAGTTTCATACGAACGCTCGCGTCATGTTTTTAACTTTTGTCAACGCAGTAATCCAAAAAATTATCATCATTTGATCTGTAATAGAGATAATAAGTCACAGGAACTACATCAAGTGAGCAAACACTTTGCTCATGTGACGTGTCACCTGAAGTATCCTTACACCATGTCTAGAAAATTCCCATTTTCATTTCAAACTTACCTTCTTAGCTTGCAAACGAAGCTCATTTTTCCTAGCTTCTTCTGCTTCAAGGTCTGGTGACAGAGAAATCTCAGTGGTTTCTTCACTTTTCTCGTCTTCGTTTGCTTCTTGTCCCTTCTCGACGATGAATTCTGAGAAATCCAGACCGTTTTCAGCCGCCATCTTCGCTCCTATGTTTTCATCCCAGGCTCCTTAGCGGCAGAGGAAGAGGGAATGATTACCCATAACTCTTTCGGAACGTAGTGAAACTCTCGGATCCCGGATGTTGCAGTGACGAAAGTTGTATTCCAAGATGGCGCTTCAGAACCAAAGAAAGGCGAACGTAAGTTTTAACCCGATCTATTGCACGTTAGAAAACTTAGAATATATATGCTCTCCATTAAACGTCTTTCTTTTACTCTGCATCATTCTTTGTTTTCTTTTCAAGTATTTCTTATCGATTTTTGATGATGACGTTCGACATGCGTTTGCTGACAAACATGTTGTTTGGTACATTTGCCTTGTTCCTTGACCGTATTTTTGTCTCATTTTAGGTCCGATTGCCCCCAGAAGTTAACAGAATTTTATATGTAAGGTAAGAACCTAAAGATTTATCATCGTACTCCTTCTAGTCCCTGCTGTAGCTGTGGTGTTGCTATGCAGTAAAACTCAATTGACACTCTCTAATCGCGTGTTCATGCTTTGGTATGATTTGGAAAATCTTGCTACTATGTAGAAATCATAAGTACTAATTATTTTAAGTTTAAGATGGCTTCCCAGCATTGTTATGGTTTTGTTTTTTGAGGATGGCATGTTCATTTTGTCAGGCCCAGTTAAAACAGAACCTAATAATATTGCATTTTGTGGTAAAAACGAAAAGGAAGCCAGACCAAAGAAGGCAGGTTAAAGTAGCTCGTAACAGAATCATCTGCTCAAGTTTTGATGTACTGAATTGATGGTATTTGGTATGGTTCATTTAAAGCCCAGCATCTGAAGTAAATCTAACAGTCTTCTAACCTTAGAATCACTGACACAAACAGGCTCAGGTTCTCTCTCCTTTGTTATGTATCGGTCAAATCGAAGCTTCAACATGCCCCCCCCCCCCCGGGCATACCCCGGGCATTTGACACCTTTGCCGTCCCAGGGGGGAGGGAATTTGATCATCAAAGTCTTCCAGGGGGGGGGGAATTTGAACTCCACCCTCGATTTCATGTAAAATCTTTGGCGTGGCGAGCTATCATGGGGGACGCGCGCGGTATTGGAGGATTTTCGTGGAAAAGATTGTGCCTTTGTGGCCAATTTGTTACGAGGAAAGGGCTTAAACAAGCTTTTTGCCGTATTTGAAGTATTTAAATTTTAAAATTTTTAATATTGGATTCAGGCTTTGAATGTATGATTGTATTTTATTGTTGTGTTTACAATGAAGTACAATACTTATACCGGCGATTCAGTACAACAACATAAAATAAAATAAAATAAAACGGTCAACTACTTTGACCTACTGCAAGTATGTTAATTAATAAGGTGAGCGATGATGCATGTCAGTCAAATGGTCATGATGTAGTAATCTCAATAGGTGGGATCTTTTTTTATAGAACGCTTTGTATGTTGCATGACGAAGAAACGCTGAGCATTCAGTGACCTTGTAGCAGCGATTTTCGCCGCTTTGCACGAGACTTTTGTTCGTAGTAAATGCGCTAGCAGTGTTGCTCAGTTTTTGTTATATTTATAAAGATTTTGTTCGACAACTGAAGGCGTTTCCGCCGTCCTTCTCTCATTTTTGTGCCCGTGAAATGTCCCCAGGGTGGGGGCATTTGATCACCTGAATGGACCCTAGTGTGAGGCATTTGAACGGCATTTTGGCCCGGGTAGGGGGGAATTTGAACAATAATTTTCAAAAAAGTCAAATGCCCGGGGGGTTGCTCGGAGGGGGCATGTTGAAGCTTCGATTTGACCGATACATTATTTTGATGGTAATGTCATTTGCCCCTGCAAAATCTGCAAGGATGCCAGATACTGTATTTACCCTTGTGTAATGTGCACCAATTGCAATCCAACTAACTTTTTTCTCTCTCTACAGAAATCTACCTTACAAGATTACAACAGAAGAAATGTATGACATATTTGGCAAATATGGAGGCATCAGACAGATTAGAATGTATGTAGATGTACATGTATTATTTGCAGTAGGTATTTTGTTAAAGGGGCTACATGTATGCCATGCTTAGGATAGATATGGATTGATACAATTGAAGGTTTTTTATGCTATGCCGTCAAAAATCACCAAAGAATTATTATGATTTGTACTCCCCAACGAAATTTGTTTGATATCTTTGTAACTTCACCAAAGCATTTGGTAAATGGGAAAAAGCACTAAAGTAATGACTTTAGCACAGAAATAACCGAAAACAGTAATGTCCTCATGACATACATGTAGCCACTTTAAGTTGATCCTTAAATATTTATTCCTCAGGACTTTTATTAAGAATCCTAGTAGCAGGAGAAAGGTGTAGCATTACCGGAGAATATTTTGAATGAGGCTCCACGTGTGAATAAAAAATATTCATAAGCTACCGAACGTTAGTTGGAGAATTTTGCATAGTAAATGGAGAATTCTCCAATCTCCAATACCTGATGAACACCCTGATTCCTTTTACAGTGAAATTCATTGAATCGCGCTGTGCGTTTTGCAAAATTTGAAGGAATTTTGGGTTTTTCTGTTCTGTCAATCATCTTAGCGGACCTCATAGGAAACACATGTTTACTTGCATGAGTTCAAGCGGTCCTGGTTTTTGTTATTTGTGATTGGTGGATTTTCGGTCTGTTTTGTTTGTTTCGTGTTTCAAGGTTTGTTGCTTTGTGATCGTCCTGTTTCAGGCAATAGTCAACTAGTTAAGTTTGCTTTGTAGATTTTACTGATCTTTCTTATTCTTGTCACTTGTAAAAATAAAGCAAAAGAATCCACTCACCATATTAGAATCCACTCACCATATTTGGGATTTCTTTTGCTGTTCTTGAGCATTCTAGAGTCATTCTAAGCCAAGCTGGGCGAGCATGTTACTGTGTGATTTGCATCAACCCCGCCTTCACTCAAATGATTGACATAACAGAAAAACCCAAAATCCCTTCGAACTTTGTGATACACGTAGCGCAATACAACTAATTTTGCTGTAAGTGTTTATATAAACATGCTCTTCCTCTACTTTTTTTTCATACACTGTTGTGTTTCTAATGAGGAGCGTTTGTATAAACATCAACAACTTACTGGTGATTTTTACTTTTCTTTTTCTTTATCATTTTCTTACCTTACTTTTATTTTTATGTCCTTTGGTTGGATCAATGAAGAAAATCTGAATGCAATACACATGATTTCTCCTTCGCAACTACTGATTCACAGTCAAAACAGAACTCACAGGAAATGTTATTAGTTAAGCACTTTGAAGACCTTAACAGCTGTTGTAATGACATTCTTTTAGAGAAATAAGGAAGTATTCTACATTGTGGTGAAAGCAATGGTCTACAATAAACGCTGTTAGGTGATAGGAATTATGAAGTTCAACAATGTTTGGCATTCACAGCCATTTACAGCTCTGAGTGCAATCAAATTACCTAAAGATAGTTCGAGTTCATATTACAACACTTACAGTTACTGTTGCAATATGGATAAGTGTAATTTAGGAAAGGTTAAACTCAAGGCAGTGCCGGGGATCC